GCAGTTATTTCTTGTTTTTTGCTTTTTTTAGTGGTAGCCTAATTTTTTTCAGGCTTTGGTCCTGCTGGCTTGTGATCATATGCATGACTTTTTAGACTTCATTTTTGTCTATTTTTCGAATAAGATTTTCATACAAACACCTGGGGTAGAATCAAAGCTCAAAGGGAGAATCTAAGGCCTCATTATTTTCCCACAATCGCCATGTGAGCATTTGAACCTCTGTGAGACAGAGGTTTGGGAAAACTTAGAAACTAAAATGAAAGGCAAGCTTCTAGCTGGAATTTAGATCAAAGAAGATATTATCCTGGTAGGCTTGCTCTATATGAGTTAGAGATTGCCAGGGCTTTCCCACTGACTAGCTTGGCCACTCTGATTCTTGAAGACTCTTCAGTGATACTTTGTAGCTTATACTGGTTTGTGTAATTATTAAAGGATTGTCCGGCAAGGAGGAATACTGGGCTAATTTCTAAAATGATTCTGATGGCACTCTTGCTATGAAGTAAAATCAATCCACAGAAATAGATGGAACACATATTCAATGGTCTATTTTGGTTGATCCAACAAACATTTATTCAGCCCCTTATAATAAGAATGACGTGGAGATTAATTAAATCTTATTGGGGAGATTCACACATTGTGTGACATGTGAGCAACTTATTGAGTGAGGCATTTTGATCCCCATTTTACACACGAGGAGTTGATATTATGACTTTCTAAGATTATATGGCTACAAGGTGACCCAACTGGGATTTGACTCCTAAGCCCATGGGACTTCATGTCCTGTGCTTTTAGCCACTGGAATTCCCAAATGTGTGATTTTTCACCCCACATCAGCTGGCTGTCCTACAATTCAATTCAGTTCTGACACTATTTACCTGGAGTTAGTGTCAGATCCCACAGGTTAAGGGCTCAGTCCCATAAGACCGGCCCCATTTCAGAAGCCAACTGCACGTCCCAGGTTATCACTTGTATTTCTGACCAACTGGCTACAAGTTGGGTTCCCACAACGCCCTCCTCAGGTTCAATAATTTGCTAGAGTGGCTCACAGAATTCAGGAAAACACTTAGACTTACCAGTTTATTACACAATAAAGGAAATGATAAATGAACAGCCGGATGAAGAGGTATGTAGGGTGAGTTCTAGATTCCAAGTGCAGTAGCTTCTGTCCCTGTGAAATTGGGGTGCACTACCCTCCCAGCTTGTGATGTGTTCATCAACCCAGAAACTCCCTAAAGCCTGTAGTTCAGGGATTTTTATGACGTTTTCGTCACTTAGGCATGATTAATTTTTAACTCAATCTCCCTCCCTTCTCTCCTCCCCAGAGAATAGGGGGTGAAGCTAAAAGTTCCAAGCTTCTAATCATGGCTTGATCTTTTTGTGGCCAGCTCCCATCCTAAAGCTCTCCAGGAGCCCACCAAGAGTCCCTTCATTAGGACAAAAAAAAAAAAATGTTCCTGTCACACAGGAAATTCCAAGGGATTTAGGAGCTCTGTGTCAGGAACTGGGGTCAAAACCCAACTATTAAAACAAAAGATACTCCTAGCATCTTTATTGATTAGGGAATTTCACAGGTTTTAGGAGCTTTTGCTAGGAGCCAAGGATGAAGACCAAAATACATATTTCTTAATATATCACAAAAAAGAGTCTTTTTCTTTTTCTTTCTCTTTTTTAAGGCTCTTACCCCTAGGCTTAATTCCTATTATGTTTCAAACAGCCTATAGAATTTGGTCATGTGTATTACATTTTTCTTTGACGAGCCATGTATTATAGGTGGGACTTCAGTATACATGTTGATTTATTAAGGTCATTTGTTTCATCACAGAGCATCTGTCCTTGAATTTCAAGAGCACGTGTGGATTTAAGGAATCTGGAATTTCTCCAGAAAAATACAGGTGGGTTTTTATGAAACACAGTTTGATTAAGTCTGCCCAGTGCCCTCTTGGGCCACTACCCGGTTTCCTCTCCACCCTCTGGTCACTCAGGCTCTAATAAGACATAGTGTTAAATGACTTGTACCAGAAAGGTAATGTACATTCACTATTCTTTTGTCCTGAAGGAATTTACAATCCTGGAGAGGGTTGAGAGTAGGGAGGCAGTCAAGTGCTGTGATTATGGCTTGGTAGTTCAAGTTAGAAAGGTGTACATTCTAATCCTGGCTCCACTGCTTCCTGAGACTTCTTAACCTTCTCTCGGGATCAGTCTTCTTATCTGTAAAATGGGGATAATAATAGCATGTTTCTCACAGGTTGTGTGTGTATTCAATGAGATCAGGCATGTAAAGTGTTTGGTTCATAACTGTTATTATTATGGGAAATGTAGGAGGGTCTCAGTACTCCATGCATTGATGGATTTAAGGTCCTTTATTTCATCTCTATCATTTCTACTTCTTAGTATAAGTGAATGCCATTGAATTTCAAGAGCAAATGTGAAAGGACTCTAATGAAATGATTTGTTTCTTTAGTGTGTTAAAAAGAGGAAGGTGGGCTTCCCTGGTGGCGCAGTGGTTGAGAGTCTGCCTGCCAATGCAGGGGACACGGGTTTGTGCCCCGGTCCGGGAAGATCCCACATGCCGTGGAGCAGCTAGGCCCATGAGCCATGGCCGCTGAGCCTGCGCTCCACAATGGGAGAGGCCACAACAGTGAAAGGCTGCAAAAAAAAAAAAAAAAAAAAGGAAGGCAAATGCCAAAGTTTGTGTTTCTTTTTATTCTAAGGAGTGAAAACCAAATACGGTTAGTCAATTAATAAAATCAAGTATACTTAATTATTGTTTGTGGGTTTGTGTAAATCAACTAACCTCTCTGGTCTTCAGCATCCTCCTTTGCAAAATAGAGGAGGTGGACCAGATAATTGCACTCCTTCTTTCCAGCTAATGTTGATTCAATTAAGCATTACCATATACGTATTATTAACTACATGCTACATGCTTGAAGCATATTTCTTTTATATGCTTCACAGCAGCTATTAATTTGCTCCTTAACTTTTTGTTATCAATCAGAGGAAATCTGGGGGAGTCTTTGTTTCTACTGTACATATTCTTCATCTCTGTGATGAATTTCAGAGCCTCTTGTTCTAGATCTGGGTGGTCTGGGGACTCCTGAATAAGGATAACCTTTTAGAGAAGGGCATACTTCTTTCTATAAATTGTCCTTAGAAAGACATCAGGCCCTGGGTAAGATATAACTTCCCCTATATCTTAGAGAGTCAGAGCTAGGAATACTGGGTCAAATTCTAGAAGTGAATCTTCTCTCAGACTGGAGACATAACTTTATCATTTACCTTTAGTTCAGAAGTGTAAGTGAGCCATAACCAAGGACAAATTGCTCCAAAGGGCAGAAAGATATACTGGTATGGGTGGGGGTCACAAAGACTGTGTTTGTGAGAACATTGAAATATGGACAAAGCGGGTCTATTAGGAGGGAAATACTTTTGATCTGTCATTTATCAGACAAAGAGGGAGGGGCACGAAGCCTTCTTTCACTTCAGCTAAATCATGAGAGATGGTCAATGTGGCATTTGAAAATAGCAAAAATTTGGTGACAATACCAGGGGATTGTTAGATAACTTATGAGGTGATTATATGATGAAATATTATGCATCAATGTCAAATGATGTTTATAAAGAATACTTACAGGTCATGGAAAAATATTCAAGATAAAACAGATAATAGTATAGATCTGTTGAAAATGATAAGTAAAACCTCATATTAAATACGTAAAAATCTTAATAGGAAAACACATGGAAGGTGAGGTGAGTTTTGTTTTACTGATTATTTTTGACATTTAAAAAAGTAAAATGTATCTTTTTTCTAAATTTTCTATATGTAATATGTCCTACTTTTATAGTCAGAATAAAAATCAATACAAATTGTGTTTTTTTAAAAAAAACCACATACACAAACCCCAAACTAGGGTAGTCATATAAAGCTTAGGGTTTTCAGGAAAGCAGAAAAATGTTACTGGAAAGTTTTTGAGAAAGCCATCGAGTACAGGATCCTGACCCAGGTGCCAGAAGAGGAGAGTGGAGCTGGCCACGCCAGGGGGATGACCCTAAATGCAGAAGGCTTGGCCAGAGGGCAAGGGCACCAGCCTTGGGGAGGCTGCTACGGAGCCTCCTTTCATGCCTGTCACTTAGCCTGAATGATTCCTTGAGGGACATGGAGACCATGAGGTACCAGTGGGCTTTTGGTTACCTTACTGTCCTCCTAAGGACACGTGATACTTTTTTTTTTGTTTTTTTTGCTGTACGTGGGGCCTCTCACTGTTGTGGCCTCTCCCGTTGCGGAGCACAGGCTCCGGACGCGCAGGCTCAGCGGCCATGGCTCACGGGCCCAGCTGCTCTGCGGCATGTGGGATCTTCCCGGACCGGGGCACGAACCCGTGTCGCCTGCATCGGCAGGCGGACTCTCAACCACTGCGCCACCAGGGAGGCCCGATACTTTTGACTCTCCCTTTGCTTAGGGGACCTCCTCCAGATGGTCAGTAGGTGGGGTGCTTGCAAATGTGTTTCTCAAAGTTCCTAGAAGTGAGACGGGAAAGGCTTGGCATAAACTAAGCAGTGTGTGCGCTAAATGCTCCATGGGGCCGCTTACATCCAACACAGACGTTCAATTTCTAATATTCATAACTGCTTTCAACACTGATAACAAATATTTCTCAAATCCTCAATATAATTCTTATTGGTGCCTTTTGGACACAGTCTATCTCCATCCTATGAAACTCTCTCCCCTTTTAGAACACCTTGTTTTTCTACCCTTACATTCCTGCTGGATTTCAAGCACCCATTTTTCACAGCTCTGACACCCGTCCACAGAGAATGATTTCCATGAGCCCATTATAGAGTGACTGACATTGTCTTTCAGTGACAAGAAAACACTTGCCTTTAAAAGAAGAGGAAAAGTCAAAAGTCATCAAAACAATGTGATATCCTGTGTGAAATGTTGCAGTCACAAAAGTTTGAGGTTTGAGTCCCTTGATCATGTGCCCCGAGGGAAGTAAGTGGTTTGAGTCCCTTAATCATGTGCCCTGAGAGAAGTAAGTCGGTGGTGGTGGCTGCGGATGACGAGTCAGGTTGCTCAGGTGCGTCTCCAGCTCACCTCACACTTGGGCTTCTCAGGGAGGAGGGGCGGAAGCCCTGGCCCACCGTTAGCACGATGATCTTCAGCCTGCTCCTGGCTCTCAACTTCTTCCCCTCAATTCAAGTAGCAGGTAAACAATTTTGATTTCTTTTCTCCCCCAACGTTTTCGTTTGAGGTCTTTGGTTCATTTTCAAATTTCAAAGAACTCATGAATTTGGGCATTTGAAGTGTAGTTTTTGCTATGAATGGCAACCTGTTATTTAGAAACCCACTGATTCTCAGACTATGGCCAGCAAAATATTTTAATGAACTGCCTTTGGAATTAAATCAGATTTATTTAGCTCTCAGTTGAAAGTGTCCCAAGAATTGTTAGCTTTTGTCTATACATATATATTTTGAAATGTAAGAAAATTGCTGTAAGCAGGTTGGTTCTGAAAGCTCTGGACTTGGATTGCCTGGATTCACAGTACAGATCCATGTCTTGCTAGCTAAGCTTAGGCTAGTATTTAAACTCTCTAAGCCTCAGTTTCCTTGCCTGTAAAATGGAGATGATAATAACCTCATCTCAAGGTCATTGTGAGGATAAAAGGAAACAATCCATGTGAAATGTTTAGCACGGTCAGTGCTTGGCTAGCAAGATAAAGGTTGCTTGTAATTACCATGTCTACCTGAACTGAATGAGTGCCAGAATGAATTCTGGAGTTGTCACAGAAGCTGGTACAATACAGATGCTAATAAATTAGTTTTTTGTTTTTTAACAGCTGGCTGAAATCTGTTTTCTTAGTTGAAATTCTTTTACGTTTCCAGTGGTGATGGGGAGAGACTAAAAAACTTGACACTATCACAGTTAACTGCATTTCAGATGAGGAGATGGGAGTAGAAATGTTAATTTGGCTAAGGATATACATATAGGAGTTATTGGAACCAGGGTCTGAACTACTTTAGTCTGACTCTAGAGCCTGTGCTTCTCCGCCTAACATGATGTGCTTTATAATTTCTTAGCTCCAGATATGTCCAAGGTTAAATCATCTTTGGAAAATGACAGTTCCAAACAGAAAGAGTTTGTTGCGTATGTGGGCTGGAGTCAGATGTTTGTTCAACTCGTTCTCAGAGTTAGAAAAGGGTCCCACTTGGCTCAAAAATTGGACTGATAGGGGTTAATCAGCATATTGAAATAAGGATAGTTATTTTCCCCTTGAAGATACATTGAAAGGCCAGTATCTTCCATTTTCCTTCTCACTTATTTTGGTAATGTGGGGACTGCATGATTTTTTGTTGTTCTTAACTATCATGTACATGATCTCCAAAGAATATAATTACCCAACCTGCACAAGTACGCTAGCTACATATATACCCATCCATTTTGTTGTCTGAGGTGCCAGTAAGCACGTTTACAAATTGTGTATATTTATAAAAGGTGTTGATATAATAAAAGACATGAACAGGTGATGAGACAGGTTACGCTCCAGTATCTGGAACCCAGTATTGAGAGTTACCAAGTATATTTAAAAAGAATCTTCAACATCGATTTAAAAAAACTTTGTTTTTAAGGGATCTCTAAAATTTATTTTTAAAGAGTATTTAAAATTTCTTAATTTATTAGGCAGTAAAGAATGGGCAGAAATGAGAGAGAAGCCTCACTCTGACAGAAAACTTTAAAATTGGTAATTGTACACAAAATACTTTCCTCTGTGGAAAGCCATCCATCATCATTTCATTCGCTCTCCTTTGAAGATATTTTTTGTAAGACTCAAAGCTTTATATTCTTCCTTTAGAAGATTTATTAAAAGGGGGATAGCTAGAAAAGCAGTGAAGAGATCACACACATGGAAACTGTTTTTGACTTTGAGGTGCTTCTACTTTTCAAATGCCAACTCACCCCCATAAAAACTTTTAAGATTTGATGCTGAGTGGCCATCTAATGAAGTAGGAAAGGGGTAGAGAAGGCCCTTTCAAAATGTCGCTTCCAGTAAGAAAACTTATGAGAAAAAATAATTACAACATACAAAAATGTCTAATGATCCATTCTAATCAGTGGTGCAAAATCGTCCATGTGCTTTTTGTTTCTGTCTTCACCCTCCACGAAGAAGTTACAGTTAAGGACATTTGCTGGTCACAGTGTACTTGTCCTCCCTAGGATTGTGAGAGACTACTTCTATGTCTGTGTTGAGATATGTGTGTGTATGTGTTTGTGTGTGTGTGTGTGTGTGTGTGTGTGTGTGTTTGAAGAACAGTTTTTCCCCCGACTAATTTAATAAGTCTAACTCATTGCCTCACAGCATAGCTTAAAATACTTATTCTATGAAGTATTTTAAACCTAACCCAATGCTTCATGATTAATAACACTATAGAAAGATCTTTATGGCTAAATTAAAGAAATATGACTTAGGAAGCATGAGAAAACCTTAACTTACAGTTTCTTTACTAACATGACATGTTTTCTACCAGATAATTGTGCAATTGAGATCCACAATAGAGGATTTTGTTGGATTTTGGAATATGAATCCAGCATAGAACTGCAGCCCTTGAAAGGGAATCAATTCGTGGTTGATGATAGAAGCGTGCCAATAATATATAGCATTGTTCATAGGTTTTTCAGCCAATATTGGTTATTTTTCAGCAAGCTAATCATCCATGATAAAGGCAAAAATCAGGACAACACATTTTTTTTTCCACGAGAGCATTTCTTTTCATTTCTTCCCAAACCTTAGCAAAGAAACTGTCAAAAACGGCCAATTCGAACACAACTGGTTTCTGCAGTGCTTCTGCATTCCCCCCAGCACTTCTTTTTCTGAGAGAGGCACAGACGGCAGGAAAACGATTGGTATTTAATAAAAAAAATCAGCAAAGCAAGGTAATTAAAGACCTTATTTTTAGTTCAGCAAATGACCCCTCTGAGGTAGTTGTACACAAAAAGAATCATTTACTTCTTTCAGGAAAGTGTTGCTCCAAGGCGGGGCTTGGGAAGGGAAGGTAAAAAGATGGACATAGAAAATGCAATGTAACCAGCAGCTTGCTGTGTCTACATGACACCCCATACACAGTAGCCAGTTCTTCTGACTTAAAAAATTGACTGGGTGTTTTGTCAGTTCCAATAAATTTGATGGACATTTCAAAAGTGTAGCCATTGCTTAAGAATTGGTTTTACTCTGCTTTCATACCCTAAGATACTTTTTTTTTTTTTTTTAAAAAAGGCAACCATCCAGAAAGAACTTTTACAGCAAGGAATGTAAAATTAATACCAATATATCTGTACCAGGAAATAGAATGAGTCATTTTCACAGATAGATCAGAAAAAGAAATGAATCTGTGATCGTTACTCTGAATCTCTCACATTCAACTCTTTACTATGGGGGGGTGGGGGAGGATCTCGCTGCCTTTCCTTTAAACATAAACCTTCCTCCTTTTTAATATCCTTACTCTGTTTTCATGAGTATCAAAATGCCATGTGACTACCATTCACCTTTTATCATGGGTGGCTATCTTCCTCCAAGTACTGCCTGCATGCAGTGTGTTGACATTTACAAAATGAAAATTATGCCACCAACATGGCAGAAGAAAATTCCGTTTGTGGTTTATCATCTCTAAAACAATAGCTCTTTATTAATGCATATAGGCATTGATAAGGATACACGGTTCATTGCAGACTTTCTTGTCTGAAAATCAGAGGGCAGGCCCTCCTTCAGAGCACAGTTATTTATCCTTTTTCCTTTTCATCTTGGTTAAAGTTTTGTTTGCCTTTTTCTTCAAGCCATTTCTTATTTATAAAACTTCACAGAGGCTGGGACTTTTCTTCCCAGTAGATAGTTTAGCTGAACTTCAGGAAAAAAAATGATATCTGGGTGGCTTTGTGACAGACTGAAGGGGTCTCTGGTTTTCTAAGACTTGTTGAGGAATCTACGTCTCTTTTATGTTAATTTCTTTGACCCTTTTTGGTCAATGACATGATGTTGTCATCCAAAAATGTACCCAGAACTTTCGGTCTGAGAATGGTTGCATGAGAATTGGTCCCAGAAGCTGGAGGGAATGTAACCCAAGCCCTACGGAAAGTAGGTGTCTAATTTCTTGCTTATTACTCTCATTTTAATGACTCTCAACACTAGAAGAGAGGTATCCTGGGTGGGTTCGAGGGCTACTCAGCCCATTATTAGAGGATGTGAAAAAGAGAGTTTAGACTTCTTGGGCCTTAGGATTTCAATGCTGATTTCATAGGCATCTTAATTCTGTGTGTGACCATTCAGGTTATGTGAGTTTATATTTTCATTCTTGGAAGACGAATGCATGGTGGTGGTAAATTTCTGACTTAACTCTGAGCTGCAGCTTTATCTCTGCATCACCATTACCATCATCTTTTTCATTTGTCATCATCTTTATTATCTTGGGGACTCTGGTTGCCAAGGTAACCAGGTTAATGGTTCCTGATGGTGTCATAAGAGTCACCCACTCACCGTTCACTCTGACCTCTAATCTAATTGTGAGCCCCTTTCTGCAGTATCTGAGTCACCTCTCTGGCTTACAATCCACCACTTAATGTGTTGATTATAACAGTAACTCCTAGTCATTACCCACTCTCTCACACACAAGAATCTAAATTAGTGACATGTCTTACATTTTTAACAATGACATGGATTCCCGTGTTAAGGACTTAGGTGGGTGTTTCTTTTTTTTTTTTTTTATAAATTTATTTATTTATTTTTGGCTGTGTTGGGTCTTCGTTTCTGTGCGAGGGCTTTCTCTAGTTGTGGCAAGCGGGGGCCAGTCTTCATCGCGGTGCGCGGGCCTCTGACTGTCGCGGCCTCTGTTGTTGAGGAGCACAGGCTCCAGACGCGCAGGCTCAGGAGTTGTGGCTCACGGGCCTAGCTGCTCCGCGGCATGCGGGATCCTCCCAGACCAAGGCTCGAACCCATGTCCCCAGCATTAGCAGGCAGACTCTCAACCACTGCGCCACCAGGGAAGCCCCGGTGTTTCTTTTTTTTAAACTTGAGAAGATAAAGGGCTGTGCTTTTCATTTCTTAGGGATACTTGACATGTGATAAAATGTCAGCACATCACTGTGGCTGTATTTGCAGCTTCCATGTGACCTGACGACTTGTGTTGAAATTCAACAGTACTAATAATAAGGGTACATAA